AGCGAAGAACCAAGTTTATCATGCAAGGACGAAGCACATTGATGTTCGGTATCATTTTGTACGAGAAATCATAGAAGAAGGTGGAGTCACGATGAAGAAAATTCATACTACAGAGAATCCTACTGATATGCTGACAAAAGTGGTGACTACGATCAAGTTTCAACATTGTTTGGATTTGATCAATATTGTTGAACACTGAAGATTGAAGATGATGACACAACCAAAATTTGTTATTGAGAGAGAATTGAAGATGTAGAATTTTGCCAAGGTGGAGATTTGTTGAAGTTTGGCAAAATGCCAAAGTCCCACATCGGTTGGGAGAAGAGTTGGGGGGATTTTCCTCCCTATAAAAGAAGGCCTAATGTTTAGGATTTAAAATACACCTCTCATTTGCCTTCTCATCTGTTTAAGGCATTTGTATCTTCTTTCTTTAGTATTATTTCACTTGTATTTTGGAGTGGAATAAAATATTGGTTGTGTCCGAAGAGTAGGCAAAGTTGGCCGAACCTCGTAAATTCTGGTGTTCCTTTTATTGTTGCTTTATTGTCTTATTTATTATTTGGTGGCTGTCATAATTTTTGGTATAGTAGTTGTGACTTATTCACACTATATACATTTGGCTTCCGCAACAGATCCTGCATTTTCTTCTATGTGTCTACCAGTACATTATCTTACATCTTCAGAATATAAAATTTCTTTTTCGATTATTCCTCTATTCCCTTTCTTTATTATGATTTTAAATGATCAGCTATCACTATTATAGTTGAAGGAATGGTAAAAATTATTGTTTCCTCAAATTTAGATTTCAACAGTGCATTTTCTATGGACTTTATAAGTTTCCAATGGTACTATAGTTTTATGCATTTTCTATGGACTTTAGAAGTTTCCAATGGCATTATAGTCTTATTCCTGGTTTATTTCAGGGATAAAATATTCTACTTAAACTGAAATATAATAGAGCTACTAAGGTGAATTTCTTGCATATGAACAAGGATTCCCTAGATTACTTCCTGAAGATCATTTTACTACCAACATAGATCTTTCGAGAAACTACAAGAAAATAATCGAGAAATTGTGAACTTACCCCGTGAGAAATTTCAGTGTAAGAATTTTACTTGAACCCTGCAATGCAAAATTCTTCTGAGCTTTGCTGGATTTTGATGATACCCAAAACGGAAAACTCAGTTTCCATATCCAAAATCCTAAGAAAGGTGAATCTGTTTTGCCAACGGCTAGCAAATTCTCTTGCGAGGTTTATAGAAATAAAAATACCTAGATACTACAACCAAATATAGCAAATGAGATTGATTCAACATTTACTAAAAGAAAAGAAAAGAGAAAATATACATGAAAGGAATTCAATGTTAACTCTTAAGAAACAAAAGCAAAAAAGAAATATATAGACACCCAGGTAGAGAAATAGAAGAAAGACTAACCTTTTGGGAAGAGGAGTGAATGCCTTCAGAAACAAAGAAAACTCATAGAAAGATGACAAAAATATGAATTGAACACTAAAATAAATTAATTCCGATCACCATGAAGGAAGAAGATCAGGTGAAATGGAAACGATTGAGCTCACCATAGCATCTCTAGAAAGAACCGTACACTGAAGAATAGAGGAGTAAGATGGAAAATAGATGCGAAGTGGAAGAAAGATGTATAAAAATTTAAAGGCAAAATACTTATCACGCCTCTAAACTTGTCACGCATTATTAGTTACAGTCTTAAATTATTCGTGGTCTTAATTACACCCATTAATTAGGCTTTTTGAGAGCCATCATCCCCTTGGACACTGATGTGACAAATTGTGTGGGTGCACTCGCCTGTCACGTGGATTTTTCTGTATATGTGGCATTTTTTTGAAAAATAAAATATATTTTTACCTTTTTAAGTACGTGAAATTTTTATATAATGTTTTTTCGAATACAATTTATAATAAAACTTGGATAGAACTACATTATTTAGGTTAAGTTTTTTTATTTGGCTAAAAATAATAAAATTTTAGTTAATCTTTTTTTGAATTTGATCTAAAAATAAATATTTATACAATTAAAATAAATAGTCAAGGCATCTAAACAGTTATAAAAATACATAGTTTGAAATTAATTATTTTGGCTATAATTTTTTATATAGCTCTAAATTATGATGCTCTGAAAATATATTTTTTACATATTTTACTTGAAGAAGTAAAAATACACAGCTGAAATAAATAGTCATTAATTTAGAGCTATATAAAAAATTATTGCCAAAATAATTAATTTCAAACTATGTATTTTATAACTTTTTAGATGAATTGACTATTTATTTCAATTGTATAAATCTTTATTTTCAGGTCAAATTCAAAAATAGATTAAATAAAACTTTATTATTTTTAGCCCCCCAAAAAAATTAGCATAGATAATGTAGTTCTATTTAAGTTTTATTATAAATTGTATTCGAAAAAAATTATCTAAAATAGTAACATACTTAAAAAGGTAAAAATATATTTTATTTTTCAAAAAAATGTCACATATACAAAAAAAATCTACGTGGCAGGCGAGTGCACCCACACAATTTGCTACATCAATATCCAAGGGGGTAATGGCTCTCAAAAGGCCTAGTTGAGGGGGGTAATTAAGACCACAAATAATTTAATGCTGTAATTAATAATTTGTGATAAGTTTAGGAGGGTGATAAGGTATTTTGCCAAATTTAAACACGTGTCATTGAAAGGAGAACAATTGTAGGACTACAGTTGAAGTGCAGAACACGTATCCTGTACAATCAACATTGACTTTAGTACAGTTGCTCGTCGCTATGTTCGTCCCTTCTTGACACTTGTATATAGTAGTACCAGACATGAAAGCTCGTACTAAGCACGGGCCCAACATGTTTTTTGAGGCAAATTTTATTAGGAAATGCGCTATACGTTACATAATCATAAGAAAACCTCTGTACATGTACAAAATAATTGATCATAAACAAAAGATTTCTATGTTCATCAATGTGCATTTTGTAATAGCATGCACTCGTATCTACAATATATGCAAAAGACATAAAGTACATTGTTAGTAGAATCATATTCAAATATTACAGGCGTAGTACCTAATAACTTAAGACATAATATCCAAAACCAACTACCTAATAACTGAGATATAATAATACCTAAAACTATAGTAAATGTCAGCATCTTCAAACACAACCTATACATATCTTAGAATCATCATTTTTATGGGTAGGAGCAACTTCGTAGCCTGACCTTTGCCATTCCAAAAGCCACATAACAGAGAATTTTTGGAGTACCTTCAAAATGCTAGTAAATACCAATCAATTATAAGAAACTGAAATTGGGAGGCATACAAAAAATAGATATTATTGAGTTATAAAGTAAGGCCCTGTCCGATAAACAGGATGAACTTCTACACAGAATATACTACTTTAAAAAAAGGATTTCAGTAGCCAATACATTAGAATTTTACCCTGAGTCAAAAATCAGAAGAATTCATGTGGCAGATATATAGAACTCAGAAAAAATTAAGAAAAAGAAGCCAAGAAAGGCAATCACGATTAGATTCATTGATCCCTACCTTCCAACAGTACATAAGTTTCCCAATGATCTTAACTAAGTTGAACATTCTTTAAGAACTTAAAATTCTTGGGTACAATACTCACACTCCATCTCTGTACTTGTGCTATATTTCAGTTGGCTTGTCGAAGAAGTCCTAGGAGAAACTTTCTATGTCCTATTTGTAGCTAACCAAGATTTTGAACTGTAGATACTTAAAGGACTTACCTTATAAACTTACGTTGATAGTGTTGGTGGTTTCAATTTCAGCCTCTTTTCTGAAGATCCACATTTTCCAACTGCTTCTTCCATTTCTTGTACAAATATAATTAGAGAAATAATTTTCATTTGTTTCTCTTACCAACACTATGTCAAAATCATATGTTCCATTTCTACACAAGATAAAACTGATAGTACTGCGTGCAAGTTGTCAACATTTCTCCAGAGCAATTTTCTCAATTGAATTCGAAATATTCTATCTGCTAGTTATTCTTGGATGTGCTTAACAGACAGAAGTAGTTGCATCTGTGAACGATTTACTTCAATTTGTTTAGACATAAAGAAATAGGAGAAGAAAACCAAAAGAGTACCCGCATAATAAAACACATTTTTCCTCTGCATTTAAAAAAAATCATAAGCATGTTTCTTTCAAAAATCAACCCTTCTGGGATGAAGTAATGGAAAGCAAACAGAAAAAAATGGATGGAATGCAAGCCAAGTTTATAGTCAACACCTTGAAAGTTCTTCTTAAAGGTAGAATTGTCTCTCTTTCCTATAAGATGCATAAGGTGTTCTTTTTAGCATTCACAAACAATCCATTAATGGAGATGGACTCCAATGCCATGTCTAGCAGATTATTAATTTTTAGTATCTTACAGAATGGATCAAAACCAAGTTACTCCAATGCTGGATATTATAGAAGGAAGCATTTGAAAACTTAAGTTTCAGGTCTAACTCATATTAAAACAGTTCTAGAAAAAGAAAGAAAAAACTTTACAGAATAGCATGGTGTGGCAGTTCTAATCTTCTTCAAGATCAATATATATTTCAACAATATTTGTATGGTAGTCTTCCAAGTTAGCCTTTCATAAATGCTTCGTTTGCAGGAGGGGGGCAGGCTTTTTATTTGTAATCCCTACTATTGTTGACTGCCCGTAAATGCTGACCAGTTAAGTTTAGTACTAGTCACCTGTCTTGCCATTCTTTTGGCCTATCATATAGTAGTTAAATAACACTTCAATGGTATCTTCAGGAAAAGAACTTATGAGAGATATTTATGCCTCTATTTCTGCTGCAACACCTGATGACATATTCCTTAATTTGTATCTTTTAAACTGGAAGTACGAGGAGATTGGAGTATAGTGCCTATAAATGAATTGCATTGACAACTGAAGGAATGAATCATACAATTGAACAAAAATTTTCACTAAGACAATACCTTAAGCAGCAAAGTTAGACCATTAACAGCGCTGACCATCTGTTACCTATGAAAGCATAGACGTTATCCTAAAGGATAGAAGTGAAAGGCACATTCTTTTTAGTGTGTAAGCGAAAGCCGTCAACCACGTGCCCAATTGAAATTATGTAACGAAAAGAGAGAAGGATATTGCAACACTTCAGCCCAATTTTATAGTACACTCCTGATAGGATCAAACCTATTGTTGTACGTGAAAGTAGACAAAACAAAAGAAAGAAAAATAAAAAAGAGATGAAAATATGATGTAATCGCTTACATCGACATTCTTGTGATGTAAGCGCTTACCTCGGCAGGGCATTCAAATGCCTATAAATAGGGGTCTACATTTTCATTTGTAGAACATCCCAAAACTTCTTCTTCCTCTCTTCAATTAATAAAAAGCTATTCTTTGTGTGGCCGTGGAGTATGTAAAACTTGTCGAACCACGTAAATCTTGTCTTGTCTTGTCTTGTGCAATTTATTGCTTTTCTCTCTTAAATATTCTTTTCTTTCTATTAGCTTGATACGCTTCCCAACAACTGGTATCAGAGCACAGACAGTGTAATTCTAGTAGAAAAGTATAGTATTGGTGCAGGTACTATTCACAAGAATAGTGCGACACTATTGATCATCGTTACTATTCACAAGCACTATTCACATAAATTGTTTTTGTGAAAAATGGCATCGGAAGAAGGAAAGGTTAAGATTGACAAGTTCAATGGCAAAGATTTTGGATTCTGGAAAATGCAAATAGAGGACTATTTGTGCTAGGAAAATTTAAACTTACCTATGACCGAGATGAAACCGGAGACTATGTCCAAAGCGGATTGGGATCTATTAGATCGTCAAGCTCTTGGTGTGATTCGTTTTACGCTAACACGAAATGTGGCGTTTAACATCATTAACGAGAAGACCACTGCAGGCCTGATAAAGGCGTTATCAAATATGTACGAGAAGCCATCTGCTTCAAATAAAGTCTATTTGATGCGTCGATTGTTCAACTTAAAGATGACAGAAGGTGGATCAGTCACGGAACATATCAATGAGTTTAATACAATATTAACTCAGTTGAGTTCTGTTAATATAACAATTGATGACGAAATCAGGGTGTTGATTCTACTATCATCTCTACCGGAGAGTTGGTCTGCAACAGTAATTGCAGTTAGCAGTTCATCAGGAAGTAACAAACTTAAATTGAATGATATTAGAGACTTGGTTCTAAGCGAAGATATTCGCCGAAGAGAATCAAGTGATTCCCCAAGATCTGCTTTTAGTACCGAAAGCAGGGGAGAATCAACCAAAGAGGACAGAGTTATGGTCGTGGCAGATCAAATTCAAGGAGAAGAGGACAATCCAAAAATCGCAAGGACATTACTTGTTGGAATTGCGATAAAAAGGGTTACTACAGTAGCCAATGTAGAGAACCAAAGAAGAAGAAGGAAGAAAATTCAGCAAATGTAATTGTTGAACAAGTCGGTGATGCACTAATTTGTTGTGCAGACAGTCCAGTCGAATCTTGGATTCTGGACTCAGGTGCATCCTTTCACTCTACATCATGCAAAGAATTATTGCATAATTATATTGCTGGAAAATTTGGGAAAGTTTATCTAGCA